GCGTCGGCCTGTAATGAAGTCCCGACATCGCCGCTGCTTTTCGTCTGATTGATGAGAGAGAATGTGGATAAAGATGGCTTCTCTGACCTATGTTGTATTAGCATAGAACACTTTACAGTTAGACACCCATGCAAGCTCCAATATGCCAACATAAACAAAAGGTTGGAAAGAAGTTTGGTTCATGGAGATAGACTAAGCGCGCATATGGCAAGTTCTCCGCCAAAAGGGAACAGACAGATACCCTCATACATCCCCTGCAAATTGGTCTATGGCGTATATATTTTAGCTGGAGGCTCGGTGGTGATTGGCTAGTATCCAAGGGATAATCCTAGTACTACCCTTTTAGAGGAGACTACTCTGTCATATAAATAGTCTCTACAAACCTTTTTATATCTAATGATGCTGTTGATTTCATAGTATCCGACATGTTATCAGGTGCACTAGAGTTACTTCGTGCCTTTTTGCCTCTACTTTGTCCAAACGGAAAGGTCATAACTATTAGTTGTATCGTACTTTTATAATGTACGTATATATATTATTGAGGAATAGAGAGAAGACAATAGAAAAGAAATGTATACTTTGAATAGTGGTCTATAAATATGCGTGTGTGTGTGGAGTTATAGGATCTCTCAGCCGCCCATACATTGGCCAAAAGGCTGGTGAGATGATTCCTGAGGCACCGAAACTTCATGCTGTATCACAAATCCGTTATAACAATGCATCTAAGAAGACTCATACTACAGCTTCAACCATTATTTGCTGTTGCTGTCAGCTCCTATTAATAGTCTGAAACCGCCATATATCCCGCTGTGTACCCTGAGAAAGTTCACATACAAATCTCCAAAAACATAGCCCTTGTGCTCTAACATCGCCCATTCATTCATCCATCCATTCATATGTATTAAATCAAATCTATGTGCACCCTTGTACGTTTATGCTATGAGCTGAACCAGAACTGTGTAGCTACAATCTTTACACTCTCCAGTGTTGCAGTGGTAGCGGGCGATGTAAGGTGTAGAACTAGAATGTAGACTTGCATATGGTAAATGTTCCAGGCAATACATTATAATGACCTATGATTACTCTTTTGGCTTTATCAAGTTCTCAGGAATTAATTGGCACATAAACTTTGTTTACCCAATCGATCATCATTATCATATCATTCTTCATGTAAATGGCAAGTTCTCCTCAAAAAGAGATCAGACTGATACTGATGATTAAGCATTTTATTACTCCTAGAGAGGTAGCTGAATGCCACATACACCAAAATTTGTGTTTACCAAATCAAAAGGGAACAGACAGATACCCTCATACATTCCCTTAAAAACAGCTCATGACCTATACATTTTAGCTGGAGGCTCAGTGGTGGTTGGCTAGTTAGTGATCAGGAGAGCATCTTGGTACTTTTTTAGAGGAGATTACTCGACCAAATACCCACACGATCCCATCGGAATCAGCATGCCTTTTAAGTAAAAGATGTCCTAGTTTTGCTTTGTTTTGTTTGGATGGTGAGGTTACCTAAAAAAGATCGAAATTTCATACATTTAGCTGGTTTGGTATCTTGTAAGGAACCTGTTTAAACTAAGCTCACATTTCTTTAACAAACACTCCACTAAATAATAAAAGTAATTATATACATTGTATTATCTGGCTGAAAAACAAACATAAAGGAATAGAGCAACAGTATTGTGCAAAATAGAAAAATGAAAACTGGATCTATATTATATGCTGGATTGGAGTAGGTAGGTTATTCAAGAGGAACCAAAGTAATGCAACACAAGCTCATATGAAAGGAACATTATCGCTGCATTGGGAACTGTGCGCATCAAGTGTGGAGCCAGCCCACCATAGAATGCAAATAGTCCTTCTTCTTTCCATATAACCTTTGCTGCTTGCGTTAGTCCTGTATATTTGACTTGACCGTTGCTGTCAGGAAGTTGTCGTAGACGAGTACGCAAGACTTCGTGAGGATAAGCAATAACCGCGGAAATCAGTTTAGCCGAAGCTGCTGCTCCAAAATATTCAAACCAGTCTATATGCAACAACAGTGGCAATAGCGGGGATTAATTTCCCAATTTCAATAAGATATACATTCATGTTACTATCTATTTATATGATATTCTTACCGTTAATCGATTTCTTTATACTATGATCACCACCTGGAATATTTTCCAACTTGGCTTTTTTGTCACGAATAATCTTTTTAAATCTTTCATACAGCATCCATTGAATAGTTCCTTCTGATATTCCAAGGAACGATGCGCTGGTTCCCTTATAAAATCCAAGTAATCCCTCCTTACGGAAAATGGTCGCAATGCACTGAATACTGTTTCTGTATGGCGGTGGTTTGCTACGATCCATATGCTGCAATTGCATTCGAGTTTTTATCATCCATATTGGGTTTGTTGCTACAGCGGTTATAGCACCTACACACACACACACACAATGTCACAAAAACAGCCATTATAGTACATTTGCCTTGAAGAGCATCCAACTCGATTCGATTCAATTTAATGATAAAATGTGCCAATGTGTTTGGAATATGTTTTGCTTACCTGCCGTTGCGGCTGACATTAAATGAACTCCTGGTGTTTCCAACCCACCATTCAGTTCTGTATATATTCTTTTTCCATTGCCATATGCTGCAAACTGTATAGCTCTACACACATATATATACGGTTGGTCGCTTGAAAAACACTCTAATATGTATAACATACGGATCAATTAAAACTTACCTTGATGGAATGATTCCCGTCAAATTAGGCCCGATTCCAGAAAACAATCCACGAATTCCCTGTAGTTTATATATATCCGAAAGAACATGACCAGTATTGATAATAGGATGGATTATTCTCTTTCCAAGACTGTGTGATACATTATGATTTTTTGGCGCTGATGCAGACTATTAAACAACGCACACATTAACATCAATAACCCCGATCCAAATTCGCCAAAAGAAAGCTCTGTTTCTGTTATAAAGATATATGGTGTATATTATATGCCGTCCACTTACCTGAAGTCTGGTTCGAACAACATCCAAAGGCGATGTGACTAGAGCCCCTATTAGCCCACCAACACCACCCCCGACAAAATGAACCCACCTATCCTGAGAACTTTTTTCAGACTTCGCTGTGGGTGTTGTTGTTGTTGCTATTTGCGTTGGAATTTGTTTTGAATCCATTATAGTAAAATGCGTAAATACATATATATATATATGGAAAATTAAAAATATTAAATTGTATAAAGAAGATAAAGAATAAGGTAATGGTATGGGTGAAGATGAGAATCAATGTGGGAGCAGTGCTTGATCAAGAAAAAATGCCAGCTATAACAACAGATAAAATTGACTACTCTCTGGGTTGGTTGGTTGGTTGTGGTAACAAAAAAAAATACAGATTTTTTGAGTAATGTTGTGTGTCAGTAGTACCAATCAGCGCTTTAGACTTTGATTACCCAAATCAGTTGAGTAAGCGTAAAAAAGCTTCTTGTTGGAGTTTAGGAGCCAAGCTTTTGAATATAATCGCATTGATATGGGTATTATCTTGTCAAGCGGAATTATTGTGGCCATCATTTGATTATGATTTAGTTTCTTTAAACGAAATATAATGTGATAATCACCTGACTTTGTCTCTGCCAAGTCATTGGCTAGAAATGGCGAAAGAAAGAGTTGGTAAAAATGGCAATGCTTGATGAATAATCTTTCTAAAAAGTTATTTAAAAGTACACTTATTTAACATTTGGTCAGACTTCACAAAGCTTTAGGCAAAATGGGTCACCAAGAAAATGTATATGAATTGGCTGATGATTGGACCAAATATAACGAGGACTCATTTCTATCTGGCAAGTTCCTCATCAAACGGAAACAGGTTGGTACCCTCATACATTCCCTGCAACTCAGTCCATAGCCCATACACTTTGGCTAGAGTTTGACAGATTGTTGACTATTATCTAAAATATTCTTTTGGTACACCTTCAAAGGAGATTCTAACATCTATTTCATGCCTGATCACTGGTGGAATCTTGCCATTTATCCAATTTCTTCCTGGCTAAACATAGAAAGAAAACCAATATAATATTTGGCATAGCCCTTTACAAATATTATACACTTAGCCAACCTTTTATGATAGTAAAATATAAATCACAATGATACTTGCTACACTACAAGCCAATAGATTAAGTCGTTGTCAATAGATCACCTTTATTTGAGGTGTATTTATTTGCACTGTGAAAGTAGTTGCTTTTTATTTGGCCAGTAAAATATGAAGCACAGTGTTGTGCTCTTTGATGGACACACTAAACCCATCCTTTGGGCATGGATTATACGCGAAAGACACACAAAAAGGAGTAGTGTGTGTGTGTGTTGTGCCTATTTGTGATAGTATTTTGGTGTTTTACCAAAACACAATAGAATAATACTTGAGTTTTTGCAATTCGCGCTTATTATTGACAACAGTTGTTATTTGGGCTGTTTATTGTTTACAAAATAAAAGGAATGTTGCATTGTGAAAGCCTTTTGGTATGTAGAGCATATTCACTCACTGCTGGTATTGTGGTTTAAATACCACCACCATGGCTGCTGGTCTACAGGGCTGTCCTTTCTCTTGGTTTTTGTTCTTTCTTTGTTTTTATTTTGACATATAGGCATTTTTACATTACTTGGTGTTGCTTGATCATTTTGCATTTTCGTTGCTCGGAAGCCTCTGTTAGTTATGGTCGTGTTAATCGCTGGCCTCATATTTCAGGATACTACATTCACTTTGATGGATGTTTTATGTTGAAGTATGGCACCCATCATCGTCTTCTCACCTTCTCTTTCCTCATTTTGCTGCTATTCCCTGGCCTTCAGATTCATCTAGTCGCCCCCAGTTCAATCTAGGTAAGTATTTGCCCCCCATATTTAGCTAACCCATGCATTTTTGTAGGTTTTTATACTGGGAGGCGGATCGGCGGGACCGTCCAAGCCACTACGCGGACCTTGAAAATTTATTAAGAATTTGTTTGCCCGGCTAGCTCAATTGGTAGAGCGTGAGACTCTTAATCTCAAGGTTGTGGGTTCGATCCCCACGTTGGGGGCTTCACTTTTGTTTTGCTTGCATCTGGCTGTCGACTGATACGACGGGGGAAATTTTGGACCTACAGAAACCCAGCCCAATCGAAAATATTCCCCCTAGTACTACA